ACACTAGAAGGCATACTGTGAGCTGGGGCTGGCTTAGAGCTACTTTTTTGTTAATTAGGCAGCTTGCATATAGAAGTAAAGTATTTATGGAAGTTATAACCCAATTCAGTGGAAGGATGTGAAAACTAGGTGCATTCAGTGTAGAAGTCTTAAAGATTTTCGGCAATATGGATAACCAAGCTAGCTAGGAAACATATCTAGCATTGATTTTGGACATTTCTGTACTCCACAGCTTTAATTCAAGATTGGATGACTTTCTTAATACAAAGTTGACACAGTCATGATTGTCTGGAGACAGATTTTTTGGGATGAGATTCTAGATTCAGTATTATCCCCCCAAAAAAACCAGATCAGAAAAGCATAGTTTTCTTTCCTTTTTTTCCCTATGATTTTTAGATGTATGACTTTACATAACTAGATACTGAGTAAGCACACTAATAGTTTTGCATTTCAAGTATGCAATACAAAGTTGACACAGTCATGATTGTCTGGAGACAGATTTTTTGGGATGAGATTCTAGATTCAGTATTATCCCCCCAAAAAAACCAGATCAGAAAAGCATAGTTTTCTTTCCTTTTTTTCCCTATGATTTTTAGATGTATGACTTTACATAACTAGATACTGAGTAAGCACACTAATAGTTTTGCATTTCAAGTATGCTTCTGAAGTACTTTAAAATCAGCAGTAGGAACATCAAATTGGTATTAAGGATTGATACAACCACTGCAAATTACGGTTATACAAAATTTGGAATAAGGAAGGAAGAGGTACAGGAGAGTTTTGAAATAGATTGACACTTTATTATCTTTGTAAATGTTATTCTCTTGAATGGATAATCAGGGTTATAGGATGCAGTTTGCTATGCAAAATTAAAGCTGCAGTGTGTACTTACTACAATGCTGTTGGAAACTGGTAAATAGCCGTCATTTTTGTAGGATAGAACATCTATTAAATGTTCAAACACAAAATATTATTATTGGTATCTGAGTGAGGATACTGCTTCAGTTACTGAAACACTTTTAACTTAACTGTAAAGAGTATTTTTAACCAGAATATATAAATAAATAATTTTTAAAAAATTACTTCTATTGTTTCAATCACATAAAACAGCAATGAAATTTGAGTTTAATGAAAAACCTGCAGTAGTTCATCATGACAGAACAAGGGGAAATGGCTTTAAACTGAAAGAGGGTAGGTTTAGATTAGATATTAGGAAGAAATTCTTTACTGTGAAGGTGATCTGACACTGGAACAGGTTGCCTAAGGAAGTTGTGGAAGGACACGGACCTACTGAAGTGAGTCCAGAGGAGGGCCATGAGGATGATCAAAGGGCTGGAGCAGCTCTCCTATGAGGACAGGCTGAGAGAGTTGGGGCTGTTCAGCCTGGAGAAGAGAAGGCTCCAAGGAGACCTTATAGCAACCTTCTAGTACCTGAAGGGGGCCTACAAGAAAGCTGGGAAGGAACTTTTTACAAGAGCAGGTAGTGACAGAACAAGGGGTAATGGCTTTAAACTGGAAGAGAGTAGATTTAGATTATATTTTGGGAAGAAATTATTTGCTGTGAGGGTGGTCAGACACTGGAACAGGTTGCCCAGAGAAGTTGTGGATGCCCCCTCTCTGGAAGTGTTCAAGGCCAGGTTGGATGAGGCTTTTAGCAACCTGGTCTAGTGGAAGGTGTCCCTGCTCATGTCAGGGGGATTAGAACTAGACGATCTTTAAGGTCTTTTCCAACCAAGACTATTCTATGATTCTATGTTCTTGAGACAAGTTTTTAACAACCACTTTTATTCTTTCTGTTTAAGCATGCGACCCAACATCTTCTTGGGGATTAGTGAAGGCTCTGCCCAATACAGAAAATGGTACTATGAACTTATGGTGGACCATCTAGAGCCCTTTGTGACCGCAGAATCAACTCATCTACGAGTGGGCTGGGCTTCAACAGAGGGCTACTCACCTTATCCAGGGGGAGGAGCAGAATGGGGAGGCAATGGTGTTGGTGATGACTTGTATTCCTATGGCTTCGATGGTCTGCATCTGTGGTCAGGTATTCTCCTTTTTTTGTTTGATTGGAATTTTTTGTTGTTGTTTTTTAAAATACTAGAACATTGTTTGCAATTCCAGTGAATGTGTTTTCAACAGCAGCAAAGTGAATCAGATGTTTCAGTAGACATCGGGAATATACAGAAACAGTACCCTATATCAGAATATATTTTAAATTGACATTGCATATTTAAAAATATATTTTCTAGAAAGTAATGCAGGTAGAATAATAATTTATGTTTCGGCCTGGGAATTATTTTTTCTCATAGTAACTGTAAAGATTTTATTTAAAGTTTTAAAGGCACCAAAAATTAAGTCTAACAGTCATCTGGAGTTGTAATTCCTGTATGATAGTGTAAGAACGGCCTGAGAGATTTAATTCACTGGATTCTTTTTTTTAAACAGATTTTTGATATGGATCTCTAGTTTAGAAGTTTAGAAATACTTTAGGTTGAAGAAGATTTTTAAGTTTGCTTTTTGCCATCAAATTTAAAACCGGGTATTTTTCTGTAGCAATGTTGTATTTACATACATTGAGGCTGAATGTTTATTGCAAGACTTGAAAAATCGTACTCCTAGCTTGCATATGTTGTGTTTGGTCAGGTATTCATCTTTAAAATGTAATTGGCCCAGTTTGGATCTATTAATTAATAGTAATTTCTGTATGCAAATTCTCGTGTTAAAGAAAGCTGAACTGAGTATCTAAAGTACTTGTATTTACTGTTGATTATGCAAATATTTTATCCTCTCTTCAAATGGAGTTAGCTCAGCAAAATCAGAATAATAAGAAAGAAAGCTTGTCCTCTTTTTCTTAATCTTTTTCACATAATTTAACTTTTATGAAAAGATTCACAGATATCGTTTGGAATGGGTAGTCCTGCACATGGACAATCCTTAACTTCTTGAAAACATTCTACTGTGGTTTCACTTTGTTGAGATGTCTAAAGCGCCTTGGTAGACAAGAGAGACATTTTAGTGAGTCAGCTACATGTATCATTCAAGGTCTTTGAAGTTTTGAGGCATTATGGCTTGCTACTTGGAAGAGAATACTGTTTTACATTTCAAAAGACTTTTCCAATCAAAATAGCAATGGATTTTATTATTAAATAATAATAATATATCGACTGGAGTGGCATCTTAGGAAAGTAGCTGCCACTTTGCCTCCCGTGTATAGTGAGAATTACTTTGTAACGATGATGCATAATTAATAGTGTCATTAAAGCTGTGTCATAACAGTTTGTCAGATAAAGTATTATTGCAGAAGAACCAGAAAATAATGAGCCAACCAAAACAACTTTTGTAGTTAGGGTCTCTTTTAGGGAGGAAACAAAAGATTAATGAAAATCAAAATTATTTTTCTACCCACTAGAAACTTTTTAATCAGAAATATCACAAAAGAATAAATGAACAATTGTGGTTCTCAAGTCCAGACCACCTTTATATATGAAATTTTTGTATATTATTCTCTGTTGTGGATGTGGCTGCTATATTTGAAAAGATTCCTGTCTTCATTAACATTCTGATGTAACACATATCTCTGAGACTTGGAAAGACTTTAAGTAGTTGAATGTTGAAAATCATGGCCTTTCTTCTTCTTCCACAATCCCAGGCTGCATCTTGGCAAATCTCTGCAATGACATTTTAAAAATAATCTGAGCATGAAGCATTTACTGCATTAACGAATGACAACAATAATTGAGTTGACTCAATGACTGAGTTTTTGTTCTGGACCAAACCTTTACCAGGATCTCATTTAATTTACATTTGTTTCTTCAGTCCTGCAATTATTTCTGAAATATGGAGAAGTGAAACTCAGATTATTTTTTTTTTTTTTGAAGCCTGAGGCCAGAAAAGACACTTAGATAATTTGGTCTGATTATATGTTCATCAAAGACCAGTACATATTTCTGTTAACAGTCAGCCCTGCATTGATCCCAATAACCTATATTTGGCTAAATTTTAACATCTAAAAAAGGCAGTCTCATGTAGTGTGCCTTAAAGAGATGAAGTATCTACTCTTCATTGACAGGTCTTTTAGAGTTTAGTTATCCATGCCATTAAATAATTGTCCCTTTCTGTGATATATTTGAAATTAACTCTCGGCTGTTGTGATGTTTTTCTCTGATATTGTCTACTGTGCTTTGTGAGTTTTGGGATGTAGAGCTTGTAGAAGGTAGTTTCCTTGCAGGCCATTCCTCACGCTGTGACTGCTAATCTGTTTCTCAGCAGTGTTTCCTATAGAATCCTTGATTTGTGAAGGCCCCTTAGGATTGCTCCATGTGATTCCTCTGTCTTTGCTCATGAAACTGACTATTCTTACAGCAACTGAGCTAAGGACATCCTATCTTGAAAGAGTGCAGGGGAGCAGCAAGAGCATCTGAAAACTTTTTTTTTTTCCCTCACTATATTGCTGACTACCCTGTCAAGAGAGGCAGATTGCACAAGAGCATCTGTCACACAATCTGCAGATTATATGGCAGTATCAGAAAGTCATTTTCCATATGTGGAGTATCAGAAGTGTTGTTTTTTATTTTACTTTGGGGTGGTGGTGGTGTGTTGTATGAAAATTTATCTGCAGAAGAATAATTGAGATTTTTATTTTATTATTTTTGCCACTGTTAAAAGCACATGCGATCTTCTTGGAAATACAATGCTTTTAGTTAAGTCCTTTGTTTTTACAGAAGCTGGACAGAATAGTTAAAAAGAGTTAGTTAGTAAACAGAGTTAGTGCTCTGTTCTTAATATACGTTATGGTTTATCTCTTGCAAACATTGCATATCTAATTTTTGGAAAAAATGTCTAGAGATATTTTCACCTAATTGTCATGTTTTTCTGTAAATTTTCTGTTGTAGATGGCAGTAAATTTCAGAAACAGTAATTTCCTATTTCTATATTCTATAGGTTATTTCTCTTGGGAAGCAGATACGTTTGAGTAAATGGAATTTGGTGCAAGAGAGAATGATCCTTTAGAATTCATACAAAACTTATTAAAGAAAAATACATATATTACTGAATATATATGCCTCCAAATTCCTTCTGCCTTTGTGTCTGTCAGAAAAATTCTAATTTGTGGTTTGATTATGAAACTGAGTAGTATAATCTTATAGAAGTGTGCAGGGGTACCATGATGTGGCCCTTAATAACAGGAAGTATCTTACTTTTCCTAAATAATTTGAAGTACAATACTTGTCCTGATCTTGAATACTCAGGTGTTTAGTAAAGTGTACTAGGTTGCATATTAGATACTAATAGTTGTTTTTCAGTTTGCAGTTCTACTGCTGTGAGGAATAATATTTAGTTCTCTTGCTTTTGACTGTTGATATGGCTATCAGAAATTATTTTCGCTTACATTATATGTAATTTAATTGTATTATTTATGATAAAATAGATTTGTAGATACGATTGTATGCTTCTATTCACTATATTGCAAGCTTAAAATCAACTCTTGGATGCTATAGGTTAGATATTTGTGTATTAACATGTTTGTGCTCTTTTGCTATGTTTTCTTTCTCTTTTTTTAGGCTGCTGTGAAAACCTGTACGATTTTCTGAAGTTTTGCTAAATGTGTTTCCTTAACTTCCATAGGCTGTGTAGCACGAACAGTGAATTCTCCCAACCAACATCTGTTGAGAACTGATGATGTTATTAGCTGCTGTTTGGATCTGAGTGCACCCAGCATCTCTTTCCGGATAAATGGTCAGCCAGTTCAAGGAATGTTTGAGAATTTCAACATAGATGGCCTCTTCTTCCCAGTTGTCAGCTTCTCTGCAGGAATAAAGTTAGCATCCTGAGTAGTTTTTTTTTTTTGTTGGTTGTTTGATTGTTTTTTCCCCCAGCCTGTTTTTTTGTTGTTGTTGTTTTTTGTTTTGTTTTTTGTTTTTTTCTGTATGTGTGAATATGTTGAATATTTCCCTGGCTATCTTTGCTCTAATTTCCCTTTCTGACATCTACTTCTTTGGCACAGTTCCAGTTCTTGGATAGTGAGAGCTACAAAGGAGTCCTGAAGAGATAGTGCATCTGTTGTTTTTCAGCACACCAGTGTATTCAGGTGGTTTGCAGATAGACCTTAGAAATAGCTTCGTTTTCATTTCTTAGCTGACACATTGCTATACATTCTCTCCAGGACAGCATTTTACCTATATGGGAAGAAAAACATCAGTCTTTAATATTAAAAATATGTTTGCCCTAACTCTTTTTTTATGAGGTAGTAACTATTATTTGAAGATGCATTATCTGTACTTGCCTTAAGGAATGGTGGTGGTATGCTTTCTTTTTAACAGGATGAGTTAATATGAATTTAGTCAGTCTGTATTCAGGTTGCTGTACTAATTTTCTGTAAAATTCCAAGTTCTGTAAAATTAGGTGCCAGACTTCTTCTTCTATGTGTTTAATAGTTTGAGACTAAAATATTGTGGTGGTTTGGTTGGATTCACCCTTTTTGCTTGTAGCTTGCAGCCAAACACAGCCTGCTCTATCACCCCCCTCACCCAGGGAGTAGGGGAGAGAATTGGAAAGAAGGGCAAGGAAACTCACAGGTTGAGATAAGAACTATTTACTAATTAAAATAAAATGATAATGATAACAACAGTGATAATAAACTATACAAATGAGTGATACACAGTGCTCAGTATACCAGTATGCCCGCTGACCGATGCCTGACCTGTGCCAGCCAGTGATCCCGGAGCAGAGACAGTCCCGAAAACCGAAACCCCGGAAGAGTGAGCCCGAGCGATCCCCAAGGGAATACTCCCAATTTCCTGTCAACCCTGGTTAATATACTGACATGGTGTGATATGATATGGAATATTTCATTGGCACATCCAAATGCCAGTTCTGGGTTTTGCTATTCACTGCGCTTCTCCCCTCCCAGTCCTAATGCAGCTGTGAAGCAGCCAAACACAGTGGCCTTGAGCTCCAGCAGCAACTAATAACACCAGTACTGTTATCAACATTCTTCTCATAATAAGTCTGAACTGAAACACTGAAACTAAAATACAGCTATTCTAATTACAAAAAAGAAAATTAACTCCATCCAAGCAAAACCAGGTAAAAAAGATTGTGTGATGTTCCAGTGGGGGGACCAACTTTAGCAGGACTGGCAAAGGTAAAGGCTGAAAGCTGATTTCTGTTGGAGACAGAGCAATGCTCTGTGAGGAATCATTCAGAGACTGTGGTGAATAGTACAGAAACTAAGAGCTGTCACACAGTAGGCATAACAGCCTCTCGTTCCAGATGCAAAATACACTTCTTTAACTTTGCCTTGGGTAATACAAGACATACAATATGGTAAAACTATAGACCTGCATGCTATGAAATGCAAAACTATAAACCTGCATACTTTATCTCTGTCATGAGAGAAATATTTGACAGATATTATTCATGTGCTGAGTGAATTTTTGGAGAGTGTGGTGGCATATCATTGACAAAAATCTTATAAAATACTCAGTAAATAGAGAAGAGAAAAAATTGTTTTGTTTTAAGGCTAGTTTTTTGGCTGTTTTTTGATTCCTTCTGGATGGCAATGTTCGGGGAAGGCTTGTCAGTATTATGTCATTGCTACTTCATGATCACCTTATTCATTGAATTTTTCAGAAACAAAAAACCATGACAAATTCACCATTTTGTCATGAATAAAAAAATGTTTTACGCTAGGTCTCTATTAACATGATAAAATATATATTTTAGGGAAGAAAATATGGGAGGTTTTTTATTGTGTCCTAAGGATTTTGTGTTCTGTAAGAGAAATGAAAGAACCATATTCTGTGGAGTTTTCAGGCTCATTTCTCAAATGAGGGAAGAAGAACTCCTCAATGGAGAATGTTCAGAGGTGTTGGTTGATTTCTGTGGGTTATAATCTCTGCCTTCTGTGACTTGAAAGGCTGCTGCTTACTTCATAGGTGTGCTAAGTAAACATTATTTTCTCTCTCTCTCTCTCCCTCCCTTCCTCCTTTTGGTCTTGTGATTTAGAATACATTTATGGAAGTGGAAATTAACTAAAAGAAAGAATGTTTTACTTTTCCACATGTTTTTTGCACCTCCTACTTCATAAACTCCAGCACTAGTTAGAGAAAGTTGAACTGCAAACAATGCAAATAAGCTACAACATTGATATTTTATTTTCTTTTTTAAAAATAGCATTCAGTATGTGTTAGGCTTACAAACTGATTAGGTTTGATACCAGAGGTGTCTTTGTTATCTAAAGTAACTCTGATGTTTACAGGGTACGTTTCTTGCTTGGAGGTCGCCATGGAGAATTCAAGTTCCTTCCTCCACCTGGATATGCCCCTTGCTTTGAAGCTGTCCTACCGAAAGAGAAGCTGAAAGTGGAGCATAGCCGAGAGTATAAGCAGGATCGTAGCTATACAAGAGACCTACTGGGTCCCTCTATTTCTCTGTCACAAGCAGCTTTCACTCCAGTTCCTGTAGATACTAGCCAGGTATGGAAAAAAACTGAAAGATAATTTAGGTTTAGTTGAGAGATTTGTACTGGTTTGTACAAAGTTTGTCTATTGTGAAAGTTTGGGTGGCGCTGTTAAGCAACATACTTGTAACAGCCTCTTTTTCTCTTCTCTCTTTAGATTGTTTTGCCTCCTCACCTGGAAAGGATTAGAGAAAAATTAGCAGAGAACATCCATGAACTTTGGGTTATGAATAAGATTGAGCTTGGCTGGCAGTATGGACCAGTATGTACCTTCCAACTTAATTTTCTGTTAATTAAGTGGCATTATTCAGCCTATTGGTTTCACTGTGCTAACAGGACTGCATCCTCCCAAAATTAGTGAGGTTTTAGACCCTTTCCACCAGAAGCAGGTATAAACCAACAGTGCTTGTATATTCTGGAACCAAAATTCTGGTATTAAAGCTGGTTTATGCTGCAATTTTCATCCAGTCTAACTGCCAGCACAGGAAGCACATAGTGGGTTTGTCTTTCAGTTTGTCTTGAGGCAAGAAGTTTCATTGCCTGATGGAGTAAGCCAATAAAAGCAGTTATTCTTGGTTTTCTTCATGTGTACTGACTGACAGAACTTTCAGAAATCCCAAACTTTTTTCATGAAAAATAATGCAATTATCTGTAGCAAAACTTAAATCTGCTTTTCTCCTGCTTTCTCTCCACTTCTTCAGACTCATGTCTCTATTAGGTGTTCTACATAGCTATTTTCTTATTTCTTTCCTACTTTTCCTGGAGTGCATGTGATTTAAAAAATAAAAAAACAAAACACAAAAGGATTCTGGCTTTGATACAAAATGCAGCCTATTTTGTTGATTAGGTTTTTGTTTTGTTTTGGGTTTTTTTTTTTTAAATTATTTTAAAGTCAATTGTAAAAAAGTATACCAGCTATTGCTGTGAAGAGTATACTGAAACATACCGTAGATACTAGACGTAAATGTAAAAACATATAGGCATATATAGAAACATATATCTATTCTGGTTTTGTTAATAAAAAGATTTGGGTCTTCTGATGAGTTCAGATTACAAATTTAATGTGACTGCGCATAGGTGTCATATTTGGTGTAGCATTTGGCAGTGCTTGAGAAGATTTGATTAACAGAAAATATCTAGATTTTTTTGGCTGTTGTTGCTTTCCCCATGAAACCAAACACAAAACCCTAGTTAAATTAATGTGTCAAAACATTTTAATTGTGGTATAATCATACCAGCTGTGAAGCAATCTGCAGGAACATTTAGTGTACTGTTACTTACCATCGAGAGTCTAATTGTACAATTGAACACTGTTTTAATTTAAACAATATATAGTAAATATCAAGTTAAGCATCGATAAATGTAGTTACATTCAGAAGGAAACCAGGTGCTAAACAGGTATTAGCTGGTTTAGATACACACATACATATGAGTGCTTTCATCTTAGTTACATTTGGTTTTTTTTAATTCAGAGTAAGATGCATTATAGATCGTAGCTAGCTTTTCTGAAAAAGTATTGTTTTTTCAACAAGTTAAAAAGTTTAAAGGCTGAAAGACAAAGAATCTGTAGATTTAAATTTCTGTCCAGATTATTCAAAATATCTGCTCTAGATTGCATTTTATATTCCTTCCTACATACCTGTTTCATCAGATCTGTGTGTAGTAACAGCAAAGTGATACCCACTATTGCATGCAATATTACTAATGCATTTTATACATGTAACAAAGTAAAATAACAAGCTGATGTAGCACAATTAAGGACAATGTTAACTGTCTTCCTTACAAGTCTGAATATGAGTGGTATTTAGGTGTCCAACTTGAAATCATCAGATGCATCTGTGTTTTTTTGTTTCTATTAAATGTCTTACGTTAGACACAAAAATTAAGAATTGATAGTTGTCACAAGTTCTGCCACTTATATAATGTATTTGCAAGGCAGTAGATTTTTATACTATGCTCAGAAAAAAAAAAAAAGAGAGGTGGGAAGGCAGCCTACAAAATATGTTGAATATGTAATAGAAGTAGTATACATTGTAGAGTGAAGAGTGTTACTAATATTGGAATTCTGAGGAAAACAACTGACATCCAAGATTTAAATTAGCTGTACACAGATCTAAAGTAGTCCTTCTTTTTGGAGACAATGCTGAATCTTAATTCTTGCAGATTACCATAGGTCTTAGAAAGAAATCTGCAAATACACATTTTCAGTATACACTAAAAGGTTTTTCTCATTTTAACTGCTAATGATTTTGAACAAGTGGCTTGACAGTTGAATTGCTTGTATTGCCTATCCAAAGAACATTAATCCCATCAAATGAAGATAAATATCCCCTGGAGATGGTAAATATTTTTCAATCCAAAACATAATCAAAGGACTGCTACTTAATTTGATAATTATTATGTGCTTAGATTAAAATGCAAAAATATGTTACTCATAAATGTTATAGAGAAACGTGATTTTTTTTTCATGAGATTAAATAAACTAGACTGGATATTAGTGTACAGTTTAGCTATTTTCATAGAAAAGAGAGAACTGTCAAAAATAGAAGATAACAAATAAAAATAAATTTCAGCTATCAGTGTTCCATGATCATATTCATTCTGTGGTTACTCATGTATAATTAACACTCAGGAACTGAAATTAGAGAAACTTTATAAATAGATTACATTTTGCAGATGACTGTTTCTCTTTCCTGTGCTCTAACACCCCATGTTTATGTCTCACATTATGATTTTATTTAAGTGTATTCTTAGATACTATATATAGATTTATTGCCATGATGATAGAACTTTTTCATTTTAAGACATTTACATTAAAATATCTGAAGAAAAGCTCTTTTATTTGATGCAATATGCAGGGAAAGCAATCAGTTTATTTGTGATAGATTATATTTCTGAAAGTCAGAAATTTCATGCCAGTTTATATGCTGCTGACTTTCTTAGCCTTTTTAAACATCAAATCTGATTCTGTATATAAACAGATCAAACTTGAGAAGAGATTATACCCAGTTCACTGAGAATTCCTGCCTTGGTCTTTTTCCATCTAAAATAATTTAAAAGCTAACCTATATTCACCAGATGAGTAAAAATAAATTTGGAAAAAGTATAACACTTAGACTTCTTAACTTCAGCTGTCAACATTCCATTTTCCAGCAGAATTATCAAATTGATCAAAAGTTGTCAATAATGTTATTTTTCAATAACTTTCACTTCGTAGCTTTAAAGATTAATATAAGTGGTAGGTTTATTGTCCATGAAAGATGGATACAAAAGTGTTTTAATATATGGGTAAAAATATAGTCTTAACTGAGCAAATGTTACTTTAATTGTGAACTTTTAGCTAATATTTGCAAACTAATGTTTTTTATCATGCCTTCTAGCAAGACATAATCTTTGTAGATTTTGTAGACTGAGTTCTAGCACGATAAAGATGCAAAGCTGAGAGCAGTAGAATGCTCAGTTATCCCAGACTCTTAGGCTGCCCTTCCTAGTTATGACCAGTATTAGACTAAAACTGTACAGAAGTAATGTAGGTTAAAAATGTTTTTGATCAAATTTTTAAGTTTATAAAATGTAGGATTTTGTAATTTGTAGGCTCCGTGACTCTGCTGTCACTACAGTAAAAGTAAATTAATGTTCCAATAATTTGTGACTGCTAAACAGTTACATTCTGCTTGTATACTACTGGACATAAATAAAAAGCAAACATTTTCTGTATTAAGAGATAGGGTTGATTTATCCTTTATATCATTACTGTAATGACTTTAGTACAATTCTTATCAGCATATTTATACAAACTGGTTGCATTATTTTTCAAACTTGGTGCTGAAGATGTGCTGTTATTTCATGGCTGTGTGCCAAAACATAACATAGATTGCACTGTTCTTGAACTTTGCATATTTGTTGTGAACATCTGTAAAATGAAATGTACAAATTAGCATTTATTCCACTTGAGATCTGCAAATATGAAGTTTATATGCAAATGAAAATTCTGCCTTACTTGAACAGAATGATCATGCTTGGAGATTACAGAATACTTTCTGTTTTGAAGTCTTATTTAGTTCGAGTAATTCAGAACAGGATCAGATTTTAAGTACTTTGTGTTTTGGACTGTCTTAAATTTATTCTAATTTTTAAGACACATTAAACTTTACTGTCATTTCAGGTTAGAGATGACAACAAAAGACAACACCCATGCTTAGTGGAGTTCTCAAAATTGCCGGAGCAGGAAAGGAATTATAACTTGCAAATGTCACTTGAAACACTGAAGTAAGTTGCTAGAACTTTTGAATCTTGTAGTGAGAGTTTCCTAAGGACTTACAGTTTCACAAATTGTAATTCAACATGTGAATTGCAATTTGACATGTAGGTGAGGGTAATAATAAGAAAATAAAGGAGTGAGATACATTGATGAATAATGTATTTGGCATTGAAAGTAGCTTTGATAGTCTTCTTTTTAATATCTATGGAATTTTAGAATTACTGTAGTAATGCTGATTATGAAATGGCAAATCAAGCAGTTTTCATCTAGCTTGGAGGAAAGAAATAGAACTAAGCTTTGAAAAAAAACCCGTCTTTGCTTCTTATTTGTTTTAATTAATTTTATTTTAATTATTCTTAATTTTCTTTATTGATAAAACACACTTTGACAACCAATATTATATATATTTTTTGGACATGACTAATGATAAGCTTTGCTTCAGGACCCCTTGCTGCTATTTCTGTGTCATCTGCACCTATTGCCACAAAACAGTAGTAGGTAATCCCTCCTTTTGTGGATGGGCGGTTAGATATGTGAATGTCATGGAAGCTCTCCCGTTGGAAAGCTAGAAAATTCAGTGAGATGTGAATGAGTTTGTTCAAGTAATCTAGTTATCTGACTCACAAAGATATAATTCCTTACCTCAGCTTTGTCAGTCGAGCAGGTATGAGTCCTTCCTGTGCTGTGAATGCACTGAAGATCTGTTAGCGTAAGTAATTTCTTCCACATGTAGCATTGCATGTAGTCGACATGTTAAAATATTTCTCAAACTGATAAATGCCCAATGGTGTATGTGGTTCTCCAGTCACTCCTATTTGCAATCCGTTGAAATCTATTCATATTTTTTCTTATTAAAATATAGTTGTTTTTTCCTGTTCAGAATGTTAACAAAGGATGACTATATGCACATATTACTTTTCTGGAAATATTTTTACTGTATTATTAAAAAATCTGCCATGTAAAGTGATAGTGCAATTTAGTGTGTACACTCGTAATATAAGGACGTTATGTCCTCATAGTAGAAAGCTAGGTAGAACAATTCTAGAATTTCTTATAGTGACATTCTCTGCTCAGCTTCTCTGCACTATTTACTAATCTGTTGTTCCCACAGTAAGTTAATTACTCGATGAAGAACATATTTATGGCCCTGAGTGTTAAACAGTTTCTGGAGGGATATTTTGGCATTATTTAGAGATTAGAGATATTAGAGATAAAACATTCAGATTAGATTAGAGATAAAATATTCAGAGATAAATGGAATAATCTATAGCGTTAGTATAGTATAGTACAGATATTGCTAGAATAATCTATATAATATGACTCAGGCATCATAAAAATAATGCTCTCAGAATTAAATGCACACTCCTAATGTTTCACTAAATCTTAAAAATATTTTAGTAGCCCTTACATGATTACTGGCTCAGGACCCAGTGCTTTTTTATATCTAACCCTGACAAAACAAATAATAATGTGGTTTTATAAACTTATAAATTATGGATTACTTTTATTTTAGTAATTTTGTTACTCTAGAGAGAGAGTAATAAAGAGATACTTTTCATTAAATGAGTAGTATCCAAAACATAAAACATTCAGTCTTTCTATGCATTTTAAAATTTGTATGCTTACTAAACTCAGTCTTCATTTTGTTCTTGTATTTGTCCTTGTTTCCTGAAGTATACAGTTCTAATTTTGCAATATCATGTTGTATTTATCATGTAGACATCTGTTGTTCAGGGACTAGAATATGAGTGTCCTGCTCAGTTGATTTTGGCAAGCTTGCAAAGGTGAAAAAATTACTGCACTAATCCATTCTAAATGATCCATACTGTGATGACTTGAATTCTAAACTACTTTGACTAGTTCTTTACTAGATGTTTCTAGTCTACTGGCAGTCAACTTTAATGGAGGACAA